TGCTCCTTTCTATCTTCATTTTAATGCCTTATTCATTTGAATAGGCAGTATAGTTGTCTTGGAATTTGGATACTACTCCTGCAGAAGTTAGAAAGAGAACCAATGACAATAGAGGAGAAGCAATTTTAAAGGGAAAAAGTTTTAAATGCCTTGTTTTGAAGATGTTAGGACCTGGTATGGTGGTGTATACCTACAATCCCAGATACATGGAAGGAGGCAGAGAGGGGAGGACCATGATTATGGCTGTGGTTTAAAGCTAGCCCTGACAAAAGTTAGACCTTATCTCAACAAACAAGCTAGGCATAATGAGGCAAGTCTGTAATCTCACTTAGGTGGGAGGTGGAGGTCTGGGAATTGCAGTCTGAGGTCAGCCCTGGCCAAAAAAAGCATGAAACCCTACCTGAACAGTAAACTAAAGGACTGTAACATGTCACAAGTGGTAGAGCACCTGCCTAGCAAGTGTGAGGCCTGGAGTTTAAACCCCAGTACCACCAAAAAAGAAAAAGAAGAGAAAATAATAATGCCTAAATAAGTTCTTACAGTTACCTGTAAATAATATTTTGGGCCAGTGCTGCTTTTTAAATTAAGAACTTACTTAGGCCTTATTATTTTTCTCCCTTCTATTTATTATTATTATATTTTTTAAATTTTTGTTGGTACTGGAGTTCAAAGTTAGTGCCTTTCATGATAGGCAGGTACTCTACTTGAGCAGTGCCACAGTCTTTTTTTTTTTTTCCCTTTTGTTTTGGTCATTTTTCAAATAGAGTTTTGCGTTTTTGCCTAGGGCAGTCCTTGGGACCACAGTTCTTCTACCTGTGCCTTCAGGTAGCTGGGATGATAGGCACACACCACCAAACAAATGAGGCCCAGCTTATTTGTTGAAATGGGGTCTGGCTAACACTTTTCCTGGGCTTGCCTCAAACCTAAATCCTCCTGATCTCTGCTTCCTGAGTAGCTAAGCCACCATGCCTGCCCCCTTTCTGTCAATTCTGTGAGGACTTTACTACTAGGTGGTAAAGAGTTAATGGAATAGGCCTGAGACAGCTAGCTCCAGAAAGGCCTGAAAAGGCATGCTTTTGTTTGGCAACTAAGAACTTGAATTGATAAACAGTTCTCCATAGTGATACAGACTTTCCCTAACTAATAATAAGGGTGGTTCCCTGGGCCTAGACTGTACAACTAATGTGGTTTATGTTGAATATCTGTTTTCCATCACGGAGTCTGGAATTTGGAGCATGCTCAGCAAATGGTGCCAAGGTGACCAGCTTTGGCTAAACCTTGGGTACTGACTCTATGCACAGCACTTTGCACAGGTTGTAGCCTTCACCATGCATGTCCGGGGGGACAGAAGAGAGGACTCATGGACACTTGGTCCTAGTTTCCATGTGCTTCACGTCATGCTCCTTTCTCTTTGCTGATTTTCCTGATATTTTTCTACATTAATAAATTTTAGCATAAGTCTTGACTATAATGTGCTGAGGTCTCTGAATCCTTTTTAGCTATCACCAACACAGCTAACTCAACATCATCATTTTCCCTTTTTGAAGAAAGAGAAAAAAAATGAAATCCTTACATGTAAAGCTTAACATTTACTTGGAAGCTTTTATAAACCTTTTGATAATGTACAGATAAGAATTCTTGGTTAAATGGAGGTTTCTGTGTTTTTGGATTTTCGCTTACTTTGACAGTGCTTACAGAGTGAGAAATAAATAATGGAATTATTATTTAAGTGATAAGCAGTTTACCCATTCTGCTTTAGGGACTGAGTTGACTTTGCACCCTGTAAATATAAAAAAGATCTTCTGGGTAGAAGATGCCTCTGTTAATAGTAATAATAGAACTTAAAGAGTCGTCAAAATGGAATAAATAAGAAAAATAGCTTTATTTAACTTCTCATATTGTATATAAAGACAATATTTTGCTTTAATATTTACTATAGATATCCTGAAAACATTTATTTATGGATTAATGATGTGTTTGTGCACACATGTACTTTCTTTTTGTTATATGTGTATGAATATATGCACAAGCATGTGTGTGTGTGAGAAATTGTTATGAAGATTCTGTAGTATAACCCTTTGAATGATTGGAGAGAAAGTTTTATTATAGTTTGTTATTTGAAGAAGATAGATTAAAGAAAATATTCAAACAATATCTGAATAGGCTCCTTAGCAAAGGAATATAGGAAGAAGTCTTATGATGAATTTTACTTGAAGCATAGAACAGCTTGAGTGTAACAAAGAATGTTTGCAGACTCAGCAGCTTAGAGATGATGTCCATCCAGTTCAAATCCAAACTTTTCTTATCACTAGTGCGAACCACAGCTCTCTACAGTAAGACCCATTTGCACTTATACAACCAATGGCATGATGTTTTTGATATTTTCCCAAGTGAATTATTGTGTGTAATGTGTTGGTATAAAATTCTATGATTTTTAATATGAGGAACCAAAGAGTTTGTGTACTTAGATCTGGGCATGTGGCTGTTAGTCCTATGCCTACTGATTTTGCTCTATAATTATATAAGCATATATAATATGGTTTCTAGGTTCAATAGAGTTGCTAGAGGAATCCAAAGAGTTTTGTAACACTTGAGTCCATTATAAATTTCAGACTAACTGAAGCCTTATATCTGTTTGTCATCTTTGAAATGTCTGTGTCTTTCTCGTTGCCTCTTTCCCTATAGTGGTTATTTATTTACTGTTCAAATACACAATTCCACTCCCCCTTGTTTCTATCATCATAGAAACAAGATAGATAGTTTCTATCTATCATCAGAGAGAGATTTTCTCACCATTTTAATAGGACTGTGTTTTTATTAGGAGTTGGATATCAGAAACTTTGCTTTTTTGGCATGCTAAATTTAAGATGAGAGTAGGACTTCTATATGTAGAAAGGCATTATACAATTATATCTTTATAGAATGGAGTTGAGGAGTTCTGTCTTGTGAATTAGGAATCATGTATATTTTGATGGGTCTGTAGAACTACTTAACCTGCCAAGGATCTATGTAATGGAATAATGTCTCATATTGAAACTCTATATCATATTTTGGCCCCTTGTACTATCTGCTGTTGTAATTTAGCTGTTGGTGTGAATACCTTCCCAACTAGATTATTAGCTTCTTTTTTGTTGAAGCCATGTGTAGTAAATCTTTCTGTAAATCATGTATCTAACAGAAAGTAGCTATAATCCATCACCCTCCCATGTATTTGTCACAAAAAATATCACTTTCATCCTTTTTTCATATGTGTAATCACTTGGTTATGGTTTGTTAATAAAGCTGATTTCTTGACTATTGTTAAAACTACTGCTTTGCAAGTGCAAAGTCCAGAGTTCAAACTCCATTCCTCCAAAAAAAAGCACTAGTTGTAGAATATTGATAAACTTTTAGAATAAGGGCAAAGGTAGGCCACAATCACTAGGATTTTCTGATCTCACTTTAGAATTTTCCACACAAACAAGTGCACAGTTCTTAATTTACTGTTTGTTTGGGTGGACACAGGAGTGAGTCATCTCTTCCAGGCTGCATTGCACTTAGCAAGATGAGCAAATGCAAGCCTGTTGCTCAGAAAATGAACCTTGCTTTTGAGGCTGCATTGTTTGTTTTTAAGAAAACTTTTGCTATAATGTCAAACCATGACTTTAATCATAGGAAAATTATGTTTGACTTTATTTGAGCCACTGATGATGGCTAATGAAATTGAAACCTAAAAATTCTGATGCTGAAGCCAGAAGAAGGTTGTAAATGTTTGTACCCTGTTCATTTGTCAGTGCCTTAGGACACTGCAGATGGTATATGTTGTTTATTCAACTCAGGATCATCTTAGCCTCTTGAGTTTGTTCTTGTTTGCACGCATGGTGTTTTAATGTTACTTTTGTTATCCCTACTTGGAAAGTAAGGATCAGAAGGGATACCTTATGTGATGCAGTATAAGCACCAAATTTCTGAATTTGTTACTTCCTTACAAGGCTTTATAAGAGTGGCTTGAAGTTCATGATTATAACATTCTTTTACTTGTATAAAAGAGATTACCTGAGGACTTGTTCTTGTCTTGAAGTAGGTGTTAATCATGATGATTTAGTGTCCAAATATGATAGTGATCATCCTTGTTTTAGGAAAGAGTTAGATTTTAAGTTTTTTTCTTTTTTCTTTCTGTACTGGGATTGATCCCAGGGCATATCATGTGGCAAGTACTATACCACTTGAACCATGTGCCATGAGTCTTTTGTTTGTTTTTATGTTTTGATATAGAGGCTCTCTAACTTTGCCAGAGCTGGCCACGAACTCGTCTCTGACTCCCAAGTAGCTGGGATTATAGGTGTGTACCACCATGTCTGGCTAAGATTCTTTTCTTCATTAGAGAAATACCCCAAATAAATTTAAATTAAGTTTATTTTAACATCTAGACAAAAATGATTCTTGTCAGCTTGAAACAAGTATTTCAACTTACAACATTATGTTATTTTAGCAGGAAATAACCCTTCTATGAATACTTCACTGGAAATCTTTCCAATGAACTTTCAAATATGATGCTTCTGTTATCAATACTCATGTTATTGTCACTGATTTTTATTTTATTGTAATAAAACTTTATATGCTGTTAGAAAGTGAAATGTTACATGACTGCTTCTAATAGTGTTCTAATAATCTGATACATTTTAAACCACTGACATTTCTTCAGTTGAACAAAGCACCAGGTTTTTACTAAAAATAACACATTGTTTTTTCTACAAAGTCTTTAGTGACAATTGGAAATATACATCTTTTCTCTTTTTGGATAATAGTCTTAAAAAAGATAATATTTCTTTAGAAGTTATTTCCAAATGATTTGATTGTTAACTTCACAGAAAAGGACACATTTTGCAGATTGATTGCTAATGAAATTTAATCCTGATGATTTCTATTTCAGTGACATTAGAGAGTCTTGTTTGATAATATGCTATACATTCAATTTTGACAAGAATTTATTTTTAATGTTTTATATGCTTTATTCCTAGACTCTAACACGTGAATTGGGGAACAGGGAGAAACAACAACTGCGGATGTTGGATCAACTTAAGGAGATCGAGACTCACTTTGAGACATGTGAGGCTGAGCGGAAGCAAGCTGGTCTCCAGATCTCAGAGCTGACTCAGCATGCAGAGGATGCAACCAAGCAGGCTGAGCAGTACCTCAGTGAGCTCCAGCAGTCAGAGGCCCTGAGAGAGGAGGCAGAGAAGAGGAGAGAAGACCTGAAAATGAAAGCTCAAGAATCCATTAGGCAGTGGAAGCTTAAGCATAAGAAGTTAGAGCGAGCATTGGAAAAACAATCTGAAACTATTGATGAACTGACGGACAAGAATCATCAGGTATAGAAGTCAGATTCCTAAGGAATGGTTTTTTCTGTAGTGAATCATTTGTTCATCCATCCTTTGAACAAACACTTGAGTGCCATGCTGTGCATACAATCTATCAGAATATCCTTTAGAGCAGAGTCTTCATAGCTGGGCTAGTTCAAAGTAAAAAGTTACTTATTTATTTTTTTTCCTCAAAGTCTTTTAAAGAGTTTGACATTCTGTGGCTTTTCAGAGTCAGAGATCTACCTTCTGCCTTGGTTTAGCTTTGAGTTCCCAAAAGTTTTTCGAGGTATTTTTTAATATTTCAATTTTAGTATTCAAATAGAAGAAAATCAGTAGAGTTCCCATTACATTGTATGAGTTTTCCCCCAGTGCATGTACTTTAAAATCTCAGTTACTTTTGTATATTCCAACTTAAGGATTGGCTAAAAGGAAGCATTTAAAAAATGCAAGTTACTATTGGGTTATTTTCTGGCAGCAATTATAATAGACTTAATTAAGTGAGTGGCAGTGACAGTCTCACTTATTGAGTAGTGTGATCAGACCACAAGTCTCTTCCTGACTGCTTTTAAGTCCTATTGATAGTAACAAGACAGCATTTTACTGATCTTTGTATGCATTTCACATCATCTTTTCTCTTGTATAATCAGTTACTTTAAATGGATTTGATGCTTCTGTGTTGATTCTCAACCATATCTTTGGGTTGAATTGAACCCAGATGGTTATAAGATAATAAGCTGCAGTCATGATTGATTTTTGTTCATGTTTTGTCTTGGTTTATCACTTGGCTTTGTCATTTGTTACTTGTCAGTAACTATAAGCATTCCAGAAGAATAATCATTTGGATAAGTTGACTTTTTTTCAAAATATAACAAAAGATAGGATAATTGCATTTTTAAATTCAATTGACACCCGCTAAGAGTGACATGCTTATTTTGGATGAGGTGTCATGGTCAAGACGCTTTACCTTTTACATATGAATTTCTCAGAGGTACAGAAGATGAAGGAAGTGATCACTGTGCACTCACTGTGGAGTGCTTTTCATTTTAATACACCTGACACATTCGGAGTGGCTGGTTGCCTTGAGGTAAAGCAGTTCTAAAGCTTTACCTTGAATCTGAACTGATTTCATCCCAGGAAATTGTTCTGCCTTGATTATTCTGTTACCATCCTGGTCTGGTAACTGGTTCAGCAAGTCTGATGCTTAGGGAAGTAGCTAGAGAGAAGAGAGGATGAGGAGACTGATTGAGAACCATATGGGGATATTACTCGGAGGTATTTAGAAGTGTCCATGCTATTAGCAAGTATCCCAATTTATTTACAGTGCTGAGAGATTTCTGAATTGAGTTTTCACAGTATTTAAAATAGTTAAAACAATCATTTCCCAGAATACTCCTGATATGATTATTTTTATCATTTAGCATTGCTAATGTTAAGCAAAGAAGTAGTTTTAAGTGATTGCCACAGTTAGGATAGTATCACAATTATCACAGCAGGCATTGTAATTTCTTCTTTAAAAGCCTTAAAAATTAATGCAGCATGTCACAGTTAGAGCAATGGTTAATCAAGTAAGAAAGGGTAGGAAATGTTTCATTGCAGATTCAAGTGTCCAGTAAATCTTTGATGTAGAAATACATGGCAAATAATTTTGGAAGAAAGTATATTTTAAACATCTTATGGAATATTACCTGTAAGGAACATTTAATTCTTAATAAAATCAAATCACAATGCATAAAAAAAAGTCCACTCACTTCCTTTTTGTTTCTGGATAATTACTTTGAAGAAGTCACTCCAGGATCTATTTAGAAGAGTACATTAAAGAATACAGGCCGGCATGGTGACTCAAGCCTCTTAATTGTTGCTGCTCAGAAGGCAGAGATCAGGAGGATGCATTTGAAGGACAGTCTGGGCAAAAAGTTTGGAAGATCACATCTCAATTAATGACTGAGCATGGTGGCACATGCCTGTCATCCCATCCCAGCTAGATGGGGAAGAATAAATAGGAGGATTGCTGACCAGGCCAGCTGGAGCATAAAGTAAGACCCTATCTCAAAAATAACCATTGCAAAAAGGGCTGATGGAGTGACTCAAGTGATAGAGTACCTGCCTAGCAAGCACAGGCCCTGAGTTCGACTCCCGGTACTGCCAAAAAAAATATTAAGTTATAAATATAACATCTATGGTGGTTCAAAGAATGAATTATTTACGGTAGCCTTGTTATATGAAATTTAATAAAATGAAGTGGTATGAATGATCAAATGATACAGTCTTTGTTTTTGCAAAATGCTTCTGTGACTACACCCCTTTCTCTTTTTCTAGAATTTAATTTCTGCTTTAAGATTTGTCACTTTTAAAAGTATTAGAAAGCTAAATATTTTTATTCTCTTAAAATTGCTGATCTTTTTTCTATTCATGCTTTATACATTTCTCAAGTCTTGGGAAGATGTTGCAAAATTACTTTAGTATGAAAGGGTATAAAAGATTAAGCAATCTCATATAATTCCAGAAAAATCCAAAAGTATCAGTTTGCATTCTTTCTTTAAAGGACAATGACATGTATATTTATACCAGAGAGTCATGATTTATTTTAGGAATATGTAGATGAACACATATCATAAGACCTAAAACCATGTAGGTATAAATAATCAAATAATGGAATTGTCAGTTGTGATATATTTGTTTCTCTTTTTCTTTTAAAGTGTTGCTTGACATCATTGATTTTTATATATACTTTGAAAATGATAAAGGGAAAATTTTGAACTTTGACTTTAATAACAGTGTGTGCTTTTCTGAATGTTTCCAAGTTCTGTCACATTCTTTGAAACATGGGTAATGTTTTTCTATATATATTTTTTTGTTTTCCTGCTGAATTGGCAAAATTATTGCTTTGCCCATGTATTGAGCTTTTTTCTTGATAATATTTGATTTTAAGAATCTTAAATTGCTATCTTTTCCATTTGTGTATTTCTTCCCTGCTGAGAACAAAGTTATATGTTGTTTTGTAAAATCTGAATTTTATAATAGTTTAAAGGAAGAAGGATCAGTGCTAACAAGTATTATATTTGAATGGGTTTGCATCCTATCACACAGTTCAAAAAAGGCTAAGACTATAAGCATTTTCTGCAGTTTTTTCAAATGAGAAAAATAACATTAAAAAATTCCCAGACTGCCTTTTAGTAAAATTGAAGCATCTGATATATTTTATGGTCAGACCTTGTTCCCTGAACTACTATGGTTTGAGAGAGTATCACTGTTCTGGCTTCATGTATCCATTTTCAGGCCTTCTTTCTATAACCTTTTTTTCGCCCTACTTGGGAAGCTTGTTTTGCCTGGTTAGAACATTATTTTCCCATTCTTGTTCCTCACTGCTGGTTATTTTTCCATTACATCTCCAAATTTCTCAAGGATTTTGGCACTTGTCTTCCCCTCATCCTGTTTCATTACATGCAATTCTTGCCATCATCCTTAGTGACTTCAGAGTTCAAGCCGGCAACTCAGTGACCTTTTCTAGAACTATCAGTTGACTCATGTAGTTGGTAAGGGTTATCTCCTCTTTCCCCCCATACATTTAGCCATGGATATAAGCCAGTCACTCCGTATAAAATCATGACCTGATCAATGAGGAATGGGGTATGAAGTCTGTTTGGGAGCTTGTGGTAAGTATTTACTTCTAAAAAAGACATATGAGGAGAGATACTTTCTCCTTCCTCTGGCTATTATTGTGTCTATTATGCCAGGAATGTTTGAAGCTGTCTTTTATGAGTGGAGTCTCACAAAAGGAGGGCCTTGCTGAGAGAACTGTGGAGAGGTAGAGCTAGAGCTTTGACCTCCTGTGTCTGGAGTGGTCCTGCCTGTAATAATATAACACATTTCCTTGTGGTTTAATTCCATTTGAATTGGAGTATTCTCTTATTCTTAGCAGAAGAAATTTAAGCCAGCTGCATTTGAATTTTAAAATTTGCCTTTTAGAAATGAGGACCCTGCATTGTTGGATTGATTAAGTGGAGATTTGGGATAGGAAAGAGGATCTTACTGTTTCAAAGGGCAAGTTGTTAAAACTTGCTTCCCTGTTGGGAAACCAGGAAGAAACCTTACGTTGGTGTAGTGAACAGTATGGTATTGACTAGTTGCAAAGCTTCAGGATGTTATGTACATGGTTTAGTCTTCAGAAAGATCCTGCAAGAGGACAACAAATTCAGGTTGAAACAGGTCTGTCTACAAGCAAAGAACAAGATATTTTGGGGGTGAGGACCCTGAGTCTGCTATTTATAATCCTAATTGATTGAGTCTGATAAGTTACAGCTTTTTAGGGTTGGAAAAGCCAAATTATCTAAGTGGAAGTTAGTCCAAGTACATGAGTGAGGTAGGAAACTTAGCTAAAATAAATGCATAAATAATAAAAAATTTAAAAAGGAAAGGAAAGGCTTTTCCTTAGAGCCCTTTCAAATATTTAAGCATTCCTGGTGAGACAAAGGGGACTCAAGTGATTATGTGGAATTGCCTCAATATAAAGGCTATTCAACTGAGGGGTCCTGGGAAGTGTCCAGGGTGGTGTGGTGGTTAATACACTAACATCTTCTGACTCAGAGATAACATCCAGACGTTATCTTGGGTGGTAGCTACTAGTCTACCAAATACCGAGACACAATTCTATAACGCTTACTTCCTCTTTAGTATCTATATTGCCAAAGAAATTCTGGCTTGACCAATCGTCTGTAATTGTCCAGCTTTCGCTTTTATCTTTGACATGAATTATGTGAAATACGGGGAAGACAAAAGCCTGGTGAATTAGTAGCAAAGCCTGGGTTTCAAGGGACACTTGAACTATCCTATTTCTGTACTTTTTGCTGTTTAAGAAAAAATACCTTTGCTGTATGAACAGATTTCAGGTATTTCATAATATTTTATAATCAAAGACATTTTACCTGCTAGGACTTCTTATGAAACTAGAATTTTAATCTTCAGGATTGTCTGAAAGCCTCTTAACCCATGGTTGGGGGTCTATATTATCTGTTCCAAACACAATCAGTTCATTTAAGCCACCTCCTTACTCTTAGGTATCCCTACATTATTTTATAGCCAGTTTTTGCCTACTCTGGTAGAGCAAATAGAATCATACCCCCCACACAAGGTGTCTTATTCTGATTCCTGGAATTGTGAATATGATATTGCTTACATAATTATACTACATATCACAGTTGACCTTAAGGTAAGGAAATTACCATGATATGAGCCTAATCTAGTAACATGAGCCTTGTCTTAGTCTGTTTTCTGTTGCTCTAACAGAATACCACAGACTGGGTAATTTATTAATGATAAGGATTTACTTGCCTGTGGTTCCAGAGGCTGAGAAGTTTTAAGAACATGGCACTGGCATATGGCAAGAACCTTTATGTAGCGTTGTAATATGGTGGCGGGCAAGCAGAACATGGGAGAGAGGGAATCTGGCAGAACTCCCTTTTATAACTAACCCATTCCTGTGATAATAACATCATTCCACTCATGAGGCTAGGGTCCTTGTGATCTAATCACCGTTTAAAGATTCTACCTCTTACAACAGCGACTAAATTTCTATGTGTACTTTGTGTGGCTATCTAAGCCATAGCATTGCTCTCATGGCCCCCTGAACTCATGTGCTTCTCACATATGAAATAAATTCATTACATTCCCACAAACCCTGAAAGTCTTAACTTGTTCTGACAATAATTAAAAAGTCCAAAGTCCAGAGTTCATCCAAATCAGATAAGGGCAGCATGCATTCTGAGACAAATTCCTTCTAGCTGTGAGCCTATGAAATTAAAACAAATTTGCTGCTCCCCAAATACAGTAGCAGAGTGGGCATGAATAGACATTCCTGTTTCAAAATGGAGAATGAGGCAAGAAGAGAGGGGTTAACTGATCCCAAGTAAGTCCAAAACCCAACAAGGAAAAAATCACAGAAAGTTAGAAGCTGGGAATTAATTTTTCATGCTTTGTGCTGCCTCCTGAACACACTTGGGGCCTTGAGCTCCCAGAGCGCCTGGCAGCTCTGCCCCGATGGCTTTTCTGGACTCAGCCAAGGTGACAGCTCCCCAGGCTGACTTGCACATTGTAGCCCTTAAGTTCTTGGGTTTCCGGGGCTTGGCTAGGCAGCCTGAATACTTTGCTGCTGGGATGTTTCTCTTGCCAGATGTTTCATTGCTTTTAATTTCCATCTTCCATGAAGCTCTAAGGCATAATGCAGCCAAATTCTTTGCAACTGTATAACAAGGATGGTGTTTATTCCTGCTTCTAATACCTTGTTCCTCATTTCTATTTTAGACCTCATCACAATGGCCTTTAGTGTCCATATTTCTTCCTTGTCATGACACTTATATAATATCTAAGAAGTGCCATACATGGTCTATATTTAGTATCTTCTTCTGAGTCTTCCCCACAATTTATATTCCACTCAGCACAATCTAGGTGTTCTCCATTTTCCTCCTCCAAATTTTTTCAGCCTTACCCATTAACCAGTTCCAAAGCCATTTCCCCCATTTTAGGTATTTATAGCAACAGCCTCACTTTTTAATACTAATTTTAAAATGTCTCTTTCTGTTTTCTGTTGCTATAACAGAATGCCACAGACTGGATAATTTATAAATAATAGTTCATGTAGTTCAGGATTCTGGAGGCTGGGTAGTTCAAAAGCTTGGTGCTGTCATCTAGAGAGCCATTGTGCTGCATCATAACATGAAGTAATTATTATATTTGTGAGGCCTTTTTTTCTTTTCTTTTTTTAAAACCATTCATCCCTGTACTGAGAAACAAATTCAGTTTTCTCTGGTCAAAGCTCAAATGGTTCATCATCTCCTTTTCTTATTTTTTGTGTTAGTTTTGTGAATTCTCTTTCCTTATTAAAACAGAGAAGGATTTAAAGAAACTACTTTTTTTTTTTTTTGGAGTGATTGACACATTTTATCATCAACTATTTCTTACTGAAGTGTAAAAGAAATTTCTTACATTTTAATGCATTATTTCTGATTCTGAAGTGAATATTAATTTTTTCTTGGTTTAATGCATAGCAAATACATGTATCAGAATACCACAGTGCACCCCAAAAATATGCACAATATTTATCAATAAAAATAGAATAAATCTTTGATTAAAAAGAGACATGGTATCAGGAAGCAAGGATAGAGATTATCTTTGGTGCCAGTGTTGTAGAGATCACAGCCCTGGCTTCACTGGTTGCCAGCTTTTTCATCACAATGATGGAATGGTGAGAATTAGAAGCCAGATGATGACTCTTGGCCTCTGTCCCTCAGTGTAATTCCCGACCCTCTAGCACAGCTAGCAGAGAATGATGAACATCCATCTAGTCTATCAGCTTTTCTCTTGGGCACCTTCCCAAACTAACCTAATTTTAAATCAATCTTATTTTTAACTTGTGGGGTGTCAGGGCTTCCAGTTGTATCTTGATGTGTTTCTTGTCAATATTGGCATTATTTTATCAATACCATGAATGATACATTATATATCATAAATTTCTTAGATTGTATCTGTATCTATATTATTTTCCACTTCTGTTTCAAAGTTTGTCTTCTATTAAAAGTGTTATTAAAATACACATTATTACTTGAGGTAATACTTTATTACTTCAACCTCTAATAAATTATAATAGTTTTTTCCCTCATTCTTTTGCTGAATTTTATCAGCAAAATCATTTAAATGATTACTTATGACCATGTTTTGATAATGAAAAATCTGCAATACATGTTTCAGTGTGGTACTATTTCAGTGTGGTATATATATCTTTCTTTTCTAGCTTAAAAATATTTTTTCATTAAAAAATGAAAAAAAAATACAAAGTGTGATTTGATGAATCTTGTCCTTCTGGATTAGAACTTTATTTTGTTGCCTGGTAAGAGCTATGGTGAATTTTTCAGTTACTGTTTTTGCTTTGTGTTCTTAACCCACTAGATTCTAAAAGAAAAGGATGAATTGAAAAGTCAGCTTTATGCAGCCCTACAACAGATAGAAAGTCTTAGAAAGGAACTAAATGATGTTTTAACCAAGCGTGCCCTACAAGAGGAAGAACTTCACTGTAAGGAGAAGAAACTAAGTGATGTTCAGTCTCATCAAGCTGACCTTGAACTAGAAGTCAAGAGTTCCCTTGACACTATCCATAGACTAGAAGGTGAATTAAAAAGGCAGAATAAGAGTCAAAACCAGATTAAAATTGAGAAAGCTCACCTGGAGGAAGAAATTGCAGAGCTAAAGAAGAGCCAGGCTCAGGACAAAGCTAAACTTCTTGAGATGCAAGAGTCCATCAAGGACTTGAGTGCCATCCGAGCAGATCTTGCTAATAAATTAGCTGAAGAAGAGAGAGCCAAGAAAGCAGTGCTTAAAGATCTTTCTGACTTGACAGCCCAGGTAAAATCCAGAGATGAAGAAACAACTACAGTCATCACACAGTTAAAACTAGAACGAGATGTTCACCAGAGGGAACTGGAAGATCTCACATCATCATTGCAGAGTGTGAAAATGAAACATGAACAAAATATCCAAGAGCTGATGAAGCACTTTAAGAAAGAAAAGAGTGAAGCAGAGACTCACATTAGGACATTAAAGGTACTTGTGCTGAGTTATCTTGATGATACTGAAGGAATTTTGCTCATGAAGTTAATAAAGTGTAAACTTTCAGAGATCATTCTGTATTCCCAAGCACTGAAGGAAAGATAAAACCAACAGTAAAGAGGTTTATTCATGCCTGTTTGGCCAGGTTGAAATGAGTTATAGCAGCCACCTGGGAGTACCTATTTCAGAGCATTGAAGCCCTTTAAAAAGAACAGTTAGCTATTTTGGGAGTTCTGGGAAGATAGAGGTGGTAGTAAGTTGTGGACAAGAAACGTGCCCTCATTCAACATTTATGACCTCCTAAAATATAAAAGGCAAAGACTTGTCAAGGCCATTGAAGCTATAACCACAGTCCTTAGTAGTATGGTAACTAAAGTAGATCAGCTTAGGGGCTATGTAAACCCACGGCTTTTGAGATTTACTCTTTTTGTTCCATATCAAAGTTGCCTGGGTAAATGCTTAATTGAGATCTTGCATTTGGGTAATATTTCTCGTGTGTAGTACCATTAGTGTTATCACCATGCAGGACAGTTACTTGATAACATGATTGTCAGGAGTGTGATTAATCTGTCCCTCTTCCCTGCTTTAGTTTTTTTCCATAACATTTGTCAGCTGATATAGATTCCATACTATTTACTTTTAAGTCTAACTTTATTAGAATGAAAACTCCATGAGGACTAGGATTTCAGTCTGATTTGTTTAAAGAGATATCCCTAGGACTTCAGATAGTTTCTGGAACTTTATAAATATTGTTATGAATGAATAAATCTTTAAAGGTTAATGATGATTTTGTTTCAAAAGTCTTTGAAATCTAACTACTACTTACGATGCAAGAGGAAGTTATGTTGAAATAGCTGATATTTGTAGACTGCTCTGCCTATCTTAGGAGTTCTTTCTTAGTCCTGTCTAGGCTTCTGGCAGTAGTGGATTTGGGGCCATTAACTGGGGTAGCAAATCAGAAGGGAGGCTGGAAGAGTAGGTAAGTAATTCTTACTATATTCATCAATACCATCAGTGTTATGATGCACCATTGTTGTATATTACTTAGGGAAAAATACTGCCTGTGAAACTATGACATGTTGTCTAGTGTAAGTTAATATCCCAAGTGAGAGATGGTAAGATGGGAAAAACATACATTTTAATATTGATTATTCATGGTGTAATAGTCCCTCAGAGTTGATGAGGATATAAGCAAAAGTAGAATTAGGAGTATGAAGACCTGATCTAAAAGAAAATGAAATATTTATTACATGTGAATTGATTGGCCCTTGACAATAATAATACATATTAGCAAACTTTTTTTCAGTACTTTATGTAAGTCACTGCTGTAAGAATTTTATACATGTTAACCATTTAATTCATCATTCCTGAAGATTGTGTGGCATTATTTTCTCCCTGATGAGGAAATTGAGACAGAAGTGGTTAAGTAATAACTTTCCCAAGGTCTTATTTCTGTAGAATGTTACACATAGGATTTGAATTTTAAGTAGTCAAGTGTAGGAGTTCTTATTTACTTTGCTATCCTGGAAAAAGTTTAGCATCAAGAATGACTAGGTCATAGCTTGGAATTTCAGGTAAATAACAACACTATTTTCCAATGTAAAACATACAGACAGAACAGCAGATTTGGAGAGAACAGTGGAGTCTAGTGTTTTAGTATGTTGATTTAGGTGGGACAGACCTTACACTTAATCAAGGAAGTCTAGGTACAGCAGTTTATTACATAATCATCAAGAGTTGATGGAGAAATTAAGATTAGACTGAAATATTTGGGAGTCAGTAACTTATAGGTGGTATTTGAAATCATGGGATTTGGGACACTACGCAGGTAGAAAGAAGATGAATCTCTAGAACTCCAATGTTTAGGGAAAGAATTGACAAAGAGGTTCAAAAAAAAATGAGAATAAAAGGCCATAGGGAAAGAAAGCAGAAGAATCAGAAGAAAATGGTATCTTGGAAACCTAGGTAGGACATTTCAAGAAAGACATACAAAGTATATCAGATGTGACAGACAAAGTAAAAGTATGTTAATTCTATTTGGTGTAGATTGACTGATTGAAAAGGTCTGTGGGGAGGTGTGAGGGGGCTGAATCTATAATAGAGTTTTTAGTATTCAACAGGAGACCAGGCATCTCTGTCTCTGAAGATTTTGGAGGAAACTAAGATTGGGCTCACTGATAGGGATTGTCCTGAGAAGTTGAGGAGACTAGTGGAATTAGAGTAGGGCAACAGTCTAAGAAATTTCTGAATGATAAAAGACAAAAACTGTGTGAAGACTGGTATAAACTGCATGAGACTAATGTAGGAGTACTGCCATGTGGCCAAAAATTGGAAAATACCATTCAAAGGAATGAGAGAGTTGAGGGCTAAGTATCTAAATTTAGAGATTATTTATTCAGTTAGAAATTCTTTTTTCTTTTTCAGTTAGAAATTCTTATATTAGAGTACAAATTTTCTGAATTAAGGTCCAAGGTCATCTAGTGGGTTGCCATTGTGGGATGTGGGTGATGGCAGTAAGAATCAAATAGATTAAAAAACTGAGATTAGCTTGTGGGACTGACATTTGCATTTGTGAAGCAATTAATTGTCCATATGCCAAAAACCTACATGAAGAGAGTGATTAGTTAGTCAGGTATTGCCAGCAAGAATTGGGGACACTAATGAGGAAATAGATGTGAATCTCAAAGGAAGACAGGGTTTTAATAATTTTGAGCATGTGATATTTTGTTAGCCATGCTGGACATGGCCATGCAAAATTATTCTCAAGGAGTTCTTAGATTTATTGAATGTCATTGAAGTTTGAACCTCTATTCTTACCACTACTGATGTCTTATCACTATTACTTTGGTTGTGAGTGAGTAACCAGGAGTGAGTAAAAATTTATTCAATTAGAAGAGTTCCAGGATCACCTCTATAAGGAAATCATTCTCACATTCAGGTATGCTTTCTTGAGGAGGAAATAAAAGGGACATAGGCTACTAATTTGTATTGCCTAGTCAAAAATCTTCCTTGATTATTAACCATTTATGGTACAAAGTTTCTGCTTTAGCCCAGTCTTCCTCATATGACCCCACCTTGTCCACATTGATTGACTTTTATGCTCACCAACATGCCTCATAAAAATCTGTAACCATCCCTTACCATTCTTTGCACTGCTTGTTTTCTATTTGGATTGACCTTTTCCTTAATCTAGTGGAAGAAAAATTTTGCCTACTCCTTCAAGACCCAATTAGTTCTTTTATCTCTTTGTGGATCCACTGGTTGGAACAATTCTCAGTTGAGGTTGTGATAAATTCTTTTTGATCCTTTGTGTTTCCATATTTTTTTGTTAGTTCCTATAGTATAACAATTTTAGGCTATCTTGTATTTTATCTTACTGGGTTTTTGTCCCTAGATGATCACCAGGTACATAACTATTTTTGTATCTTTTTATGAGTCTAGTATAATGTTTCATACAGTAGATGTTTGGTTGAGATTTTTGAAAGCTGGATATCAGAAGATTTATTCCTGATGTGCTCTGGGATCTGTCTGTTTGAATTTGTCCATGTATTATGGGAAAATTGATTTCTCTTTCCATTCTTTAGGAAGCACTTTGAATGCATTTATAGCAAGATGACAAGAAAAGATTTAAGGCATTTCTTAGGTGAAAAGAATTTATAACTATTCTGTAGCTCTTAAGAAACCTTTTGAGTTTTTTTTTTTTTTTTAATTTGAAAGTGGTTTGGGAAGGGTATTTTACTCATCTTTCATGTGGTACAATAGTAACCCAAGTGCTGAAAGAAGAACCAGAAATGGTGAGAGTCCAACAGCTTCTTATTTTAATCTAGCTAAGTTACCTATAAGAAACAGTCCCCAACTCATGTTATTTTATTAAGGTCAACCTATACTTTTACTTATTCAGATTAAGTAAAAAGAGTTGATAGCAAAGGTTCTCATGGTTTTAGTATATTGAAATTATACACAATAGGGTTTTGGGCAAGTAGATCTATGAATGTTACATTTCTGTGTCTTTCTGCTTCATGTAATTTGTTACTTTTCAAGGGTTTAATAAGCTCTAAACCTTATCCATAGTTTTTCTCATTTAAATTATATTTTTTCCTCCATCTAGATCACCATTCTCATACTTGTTTTAAAATTAAAATTTTAAATACTTTATTGAAATGCTCTAGCTGCTATTAATATTTTCAGGGTATTTGGCTATTACACTGTAATTTCAACAAAATCCTAGAGCCTTTTATCAAAACCAAAATATACATGATTGGAGTTCTATATTTTTTGCCACTTATTGAATATATGATCTTTGTCAAGTTACTTCATCATTTTATGCTTTTTCAACAAAAAGAGAATAGTGCAGTTTTTCTATATCACTGGATTTTTGTGTACTTTGTAAATCCAAAAATGAAATGTAAATGTAATAAAACCCACACTAGGTACGTTCTTAGGGAAATTAGGTGCTGATGTGCTGATAAATATTTGCAAGTGTGCTCTCGAGGGGAGCAAAACCCCTGAGTTTACCAACTTTAGTTGTGGAACTATCCTGATCTTGGCTGTTTTCAAATGAGACATCACTAGGCAGTGGCAAAGTCGGAAACAGATGAGCACCTCAAGTTGGCTCTTGAAGGTCTCTGTGAGTTTGGCTGCAGCAGGTCACTGACCTTTGGGAATAACTTTCATATTCACCTATGCCTTTTATAGGACGTAAAGAGAAGTAAATGCATTCTACTGAAACTTAAAATAGTCATTGAGCAGTTTTCCTGATGAGAGACTTTGTTTTGTAAATTTATTTTTGGGCTATGAGTACAGAATTGCTCATGAAAAGAAATCTATTCCTTTGTTAATTCAAAGTAGCAGTAGGTCTTAGGTGATTTTGTGGAGTAAAGAAAATACAGATTTTGTCTAAAACTCACAAAACTTCTTTTCAGGAAGTTGTTTCTAATGATTGTGCTCTTATACACCTAATAAATTACATATAGTAAATTTATAAAAATAAAAGCAGTGTTGCTGATGTAGCTTGGTGGTAGATTGTGTGCGTAGCATGTTCAAGGCCCTGGGTTCAATACCCAGCACCACATCAAAACAAAACAAAAAGCAAACAAAAGAAGCAGATACATTTTAGGCATGAAAACATATATTTTAAATAGATTATATGTACTTGTTTATAGACTATTAGTAATCCAAAGGTGTGCCTAATTATCATTAAGAGTAGCACCCAGATGGTTTTGAAACCTCAAAACATAGGTGTTAGAAAGAATTTCTGGGTTCAAATCCTGGCTCTGCTCTTGTTCATTATGTACACAAATTATTAGCTTCTTTCTGCTGCGGTTTAAAAAAGGAAGTAATAAGGCAATAATAGTGTCCCCTGGCCATGAAGATGAAATGAGGCAAACGATACAAAATGATCTCAGAGCAGTGTTTATATTTTGTATTTATATCACATATTTTGCAAGTACTTAGGGAATCCCATATATAGAATAGATTATCGCTAATGTTTTTTAATGGCTATTTTGTTTATTCAAGTAAAGATTGACAGAAAGGTACTTTATTACCCTATTGGTGCTAAAGAGTCTTTTATAGATATGGAAATGATCAATCAGAAGAATCATAGTATATCCCTTTTTGGTCACTTCAATAATAACTCCTTCCCCTGTCATCAGTTTGTGTCCCTTCTGGCCAAAATAACCCACTCTTTGCTTTTATCAAGCACTTCTCATTCATTATAGTTAAATTGACTTTTGCCTTTGTCTCCTTTGCTGTTCATGTGTGTTAACTGAAGCACCTGGTATGTTACCTTTTACTTAGTAAGTGTTTAATATATGCTAGTGACTAAATAAATGCACAGAACATTTCCCTTGTGTTTATTTTAATTTCTAGGTATGCATGTATTGAGAGAACTAAAATCTCAAAGTATTTTCCCAGGGACATGATGTGTAATATGTTTGGTATAATTTGAGAATAACCAGTGGGTTATTCTCCTTCTCTTTATCTCAGGCAGAAAGCTTAGAAGATAAGAATATGGCTAAAGTTCATCGTTGTCAGCTAGAGAAGTTGAAATCACAGTGTGAGAGACTGACAGAGGAATTAACCCAGAATGAAAATGAGAATAAAAAACTAAAGCTACAATATCAGTGTTTGAAAGAACAACTAGAAGAAAAGGTAAAAATGATTGAATTTTAGTTTAAAAGATTTATTTTAATTTCTTTTAGTATTTCTTCTAGAATTTTTTTTATATTCCATTAATAAATTATAACAGTAGTCTTTCATAGGAATGTTGTATTGGTGCCAGAGGAAAAAAAGATTATTAGAATGCTGTGCTTTTTATTCTTTCAGTCAGCCTTCTAGTACATTTAGTTTTAATTTTCTTCCTGTATCATGAAACAGGAATTTAGAGGCAAACTTTGATGTTTTATTGAAGACTTTCTATAATGTGAGATTTTTATGATAAGTGGTTTACATGTATCAATTCATTTAATTCTCACAACTATTTGTCTTAGTGTCTTAGTCTATCTGAGCTGCTGTAACAGAGCAGTACAGACCAAATGGCTTAAAGACAACAGAATTTTTTTCTTATTGTCCAGGAGGTTTCAGTGTCCAAGATGAAGGGACCATTACCGTGTCCTTGCATTGCTGAAAGGATGAGAGAACTGTCGGGATTCTTTTTTATAAGGGTAGTAATCCTGTTCCCGAGGATTCCACCCTCCTGGACTGATTCCCTCCCAGATGCCTCACTTCCAAATACCACTACATTGGAGATTAGGTTTCAACATTTAAACTTTGGGGAGACACATTCGATTTCGTTGTTTGGTTTTGTCAATGTATGAGGAAATCAAGTTTCACAATAAAATACCTACTGGTTAATTACTCACTATATGCTCATCCTTACAGTAACTAAAAATGGATACTGTTCTTCATTTTGTAGCTTTAGAAAGTGAAGGTTAAGTAGGAAGGTTAAGTACATCTCCACCATGCTTACCATTTTTGCTTTCCCTACACATGTAAATTTATCTTGAATAACTGCTAACCACTATTTATTGCATGTTAGATAAAATAAGGATTATTAGAAGTCACTGCTTTTGAGGTTCTCATGTGACAAAATGTCAACTTAGAAGTCAGAATATTTAAATTTTCCTTCTATTTCTTTCACCAACTTCAAAAAAGAATTTTCAATGGAGTGTGACAGTTCACTTATAAAAAACATCATTAAAGGCTGGGTGCAGAATCTTACCTTTTATAATCCCAGCCACTTGGGAGGTGTAGATCTCAAGAATTGCAGTTTGAGGCAAGCCCAGGCAAAAAGTTAGTGAGACCCCATTTCAACAAGCCAGCCATGCAGGAGGCATAGGTAGGAGGATGGTGGTCTTAAGGATTGCCCCAGGAAAAACTTGAGACCCTAGTAGAAAAACAAAACAAAACAAAAAAGCAAAAAAAAGGGCTTGAGGCATGGCTCAAGTGGTAGAGCACCTGCCTAGCAAGTGTAAGGCCCTGAGTTCAAACCATCACAAAAAAGGATAACACCCCCCCAAAAGAGATCAATAAAGTACAGATAATGAGAAAAGGTAGTATACACCTGGACCAAATGAATGCTATGAAGAAGGGACTGCCACGGTTGGGCTATCATAAAACTATTCATAAAGAATTAGGAAAAAACCTTTCTTAATCCTTTGCTCTCCTTTTTGTTGTTTGTAAAGTTTTTTGTGTGTATTTACATGTACATATTAATTAATTATTAAAACCAAGAAAATAAGTTAGTTTCGAATTTATGATTAAATGTATCTGAGTGCTATATTTTGGCCTACAGTCTTGATGACAGCTATAACTTAATTCTCATGTCAGGTTTTGTTTTGATTGTTCTAATGGTCTACATACTTCATGTGTCTGTTGCTAGGATGTAGTTGCTGTGGATATGATGCTAAAATTTCAAACTTTTTCACAATTAGAATGTTAGCTAGATTTTGTTAAAATGTTTTATATTTCCTTCTCTGCATTTAAGAAAGTGTTGAAAAAATTGATTTGTTGAAAATGTAAACTTTACCTTGCTGTTCTTAAAAACAAATGTTTCTTCACAGATTCTATTTAGAATATTCCAAATACATATGTTATCATAAACTTAACCTTAGACCAGAGTTTGAGGAGTTTATGAGTTTGATACATTGCTGTCTGTGGCAGGTATGCTGGATCCTGAGAATAGGATGTAGGTAAGACACAGGCCTGCAGTTGACTCTTTCAGTTGTTAAATGTGGGTTGAGTTTACCAGTTGAGTATGGTTTTTCTGAAATGCTCGGTACCAGAAGTGATTCAGATTTTGGAGTTTTTAGATTTTTGGACTATTTTCTTATACATAATGAAGTATCTTGAGAATGAGACCCAGGACTAAGCACAAAATTCATTTGTGTTTCATATACACCTTATATACATAGCCTAAATTTTATATGGTAATTTTATACCATATTTTTAGTGTGCTTGCACATTGACGGCAACCCATCTCATAAGATCAGATGTAGAAGCATTTCACTTGTGAAATGCTGTTAGTGCTCAAAAAAAGTTGGATCAAAGTTGAAATGCTCCAAAGAGCATTTCAGATTTTGGATTTTTGGGCTAGGAATGTTTAGTCTGTAGTCAAATCCTGGCAATGTGTACTAATGCAGAGGAAAGGTGATCTCAGTTCTTTAAAAAGGTCCAAAATGGTGTATAATCGTCAACCAATCTGTGTGTGCAACCTGTGTACCTGAAGGTACAAAAAAATCTGTAGATACTTAAGTCCCTTGTAATAAACTGGTGTAGTATTTGCATGTAACCTAGGTAGTTAATGTACTTTAAAACATTACTAAATTACTTATAATATTAATATGATATACATGCTATGTAAATAATTATATGGCATTATTTAGGGAATAGTAAGGATAAAAGTCTGTACATGTTCAGTACAAATGCAGTTCTTTTAGTTATTTTTGCCTAAGCCACCCTTCCAGCCCTCTTTTCAATTATTTTCAATGTGCTGTTCATCAAATGTGGGGATTTGGAGTTCAAGGATCTGGGGGGCTGGATGTACAGCTTGCATTTTCTTTAATATTTATTTTTGGTTTACATGAGTGTTGTGCATGTTTGATTGATTTAACTGTTGACACAGTCCTTGGTACAGAAAGCTATGAGTTTAAATTGTATTGAGCTGTAGTATCTTCAGAGGGAGCATTTCTCTTTGAGAGGTACTATAGCATTATTGGTTATGGACAAAAGGTTGAGTGTTTATCCTTTTCTAGTTGTTTGGCTTTATGTAAATTGCCTAAAACTCAAAACCTGAATTTTGTCCTCCTTAAAACCATACCTTTATTGTAGTAGTAAATGTGAGAATGTACCTAAAGTACATTGATGCAGTATCTGGTATCTAACATATCAGTTCATGGTAGTGCCCTTAGATTGTTATTGTTATGTTTCCATATACATATTGACTAATGGTTCAACCATACAACATACCAATCAACAAATATTTGGTTGACTGTAGTCTACCTAATAATGTGTTAATGTATTAAGAATAATAAATAATAATAATACCAGTGGTCCACTTAATAATAAAACCACAGGATTTTGGTGACAAGTTTAAAGCCAGACTTAGTTGATCACTTGAGACAGATGGTTCATAAAGGCAGCCATGTGGAAGAGTTGGCAGTCTGTCAACAGGTGATATTGAAGGCATAGTGTTAGACAAACTGAACACTTAGGTAGTTTTATAGATATGCCTGTTGTTTGAGAAGAATCACATCAAGGTCGTTTTTCCATCTCTAGGATCAGGGACAGAGTCTAACACATAGTAGATAATTTATAACCACATTGCAGAGAAAGAGGTACTTGTATATGCACACACATGATTACCAAACTAGGAACAATAATAATTTTTCAAAAATACAAAACAAAACTACATTGCCAGTGAATAAAAGCTCAGTTGGTAGTAACCTTGACATTACTGTTTAAGCAATGTAATGCACTTGGTAAATTCAGCTTTATGGATTGGAGGAGATTTACATTTTATCTTCTGTGGCTATGCTATAATCAAAAGGAAAGACTTTATTGTTTTCTTAGCAAAGTAATACTCTTACTTGCCCATCCTCTACAGAAGTATATGATGCTACTAACACACATATGTTTGTTTTTAAGTCTTAGCATTATTTTGATTGGGTGCTTTCTTTTTGATTGTATTTCTTGTGTTATATTACTTAGTAAGGGAAGAAAGGGTTAAAATTGCTCAAAAATCATATGAACTGTTAGTACCAAGGTAGCATTAATCAGTGATAGAGAAGATTGCTGTTAGTGTATATGCACAGAAAACTAACTGGCATATTTTTTGAAGTATTCAGTGCTAACATGGTAATAAAATGCATTTCTTCTAACATCTGATTTTGCTTTGTCAAATGTTATTTTCTAATTTTACATGACAAAGAGAACAAGTATTATGTAATCTACAGAACTTTTACATATGCATTTAAGAGCTTTATGCATAAAGCTTTTTACATATGCTTCTAAGAACTTTATGTCTTAAGTTCTTAGAAGTATGGTCATATTGTCAAATAATATATACAATATTTTGTACATGTGTATTTGTAAGCATGATAAAAATTATGGAAATATTATGAGATTATTTCTATAAATCCAACACAAGCATGAGAAAGACATTTATTTTCCAGTATTGTTCAAGTAATTTCACTGATTATATTAATTTTAGCTAATCCTCAAAATAAGAACTTGTCTGGATAGAGAATGTATTATTCTTGTGTATTCTAACCAGAATTAAGAGAACACACTTCTTGCCAGTAGGTACTCAAACCTAGAGGCAGTCAGTGGTGCTTGCCACATAACTTATTTTATTTTTCTCCTTTAATTCACTCATAATCACATCCACATGAGTCACTTTCTCTGTTACAGGAGATGCTGTTGTGTGGCTACCATACATTTTAGTTAGTTAGTCTCAACACTGTTGAAAGTTTCTTCAGTAGCTGTCAGGTTGTTTTCTTCCAGACAAAAGTCTGTGTGCTAGCTTTTGTTTAACAAGCATTGCTCCAGAGTTTATAACATAGCAGCAGACTAACTAGCAGCAGAGGCAAAGGTGATATTTCTCAAACTGTTTGGCATCGATGAAATTGTAAAGTGTAAAAGGACCTTAGGCA